AATCGAGATCTCGGCGGTTCGATGAATCGAGATGTAATTAGCAATCGCTGAATCCGGCAAGATTTACAAAGTCCGATTTTCGACTCGATCTTAAAGCGCGATATTCGATCGAGAGAAAAAAATATCATTTCTTCGAATCTGAGTTTAATCGGATGATTGGTTTCGCGCAATCGATTAATTTATCGCGATTTAACGGATAACATCATGCATCGATTTTCTATTAATTAGCTATTAAAGTCGAGGAGAAGGAATTATCGCTATGTCACGTTGTAAAATAATTGCGATAAAATGTAACGTAATGTATTATCATCGATTGGAAGGAATTTGTTTCGAAAACGCTATTTTCTAATTAAAGAAGATAATTAAAGAAATTATCCCAAGTAAAATATTATAAAACGATGAAACATGAGATTCCTGAATCGTTGAAAGAGGATAAACTATATTTAAAGACATTTAGCAAAGATGTGATAATTTGAATTTGAAGGAGATAAAAATTTTTTACGAGAAACAGTCTTGCTCAAAGATCACGATCTTTTGATTGCGGATTAATGTTGAGCCTCTACGATCGATAGCCGTAGGGGAAAAGACAATTAGACGAAGGTAATATCGTGAGATTATATACGTTCGCATAGATGATCTGTATGATAATTTTTCAAGAATCTTGATATCGATATTTCGTTTCTTCTCTAGTTAAACCAAGTTAAAATTATACTTGTGCATATTCTTTTATATATTTTCATATATAATCTCTTTAAAGGAATTTATTTATTAATTACGATATTACAGGCCAATTGTTGATATTTAAAAAACATTACATACGTCTTTGTCGCAGTGAACGATAGATGCGCGATGATGCAATTTTAATATATCATTAAGAAAGTTGATGTTTAACTACGAATTTTATGGCAAAGTTAAGCGTATAATAATCAAACGATGTATTGTTCACAAATTGACTAACCTTTATTATTTTAAAAATCAATAAAAATTCCCACTAAATTAGTTTCTTACTCGATTATCATCATATTACACTCGTAATAAATTCCTAGTAATAAATGAATTTTAAATAGCTTCGCAGTTCTATTAGCAGTTTTTTTTATTAAAAGTAGTTTTCAACTAATGGAAATTATTGAAAAATTCAACAAATTTACGCCCTCCTACGCAACATAACTCCAAGCATTAGCACTTTCATAATTGAGAAATTTTTCCAAATAATTAGTATAATAATCGAGATGGAGTCAAATGATTGAACAAACGATGCTCAAGATCGATCAATCGATCTAACGCAGCCGGTGAAGAACGAAGTCTCTATCTAAAAGTGAAGGAAAAATGCATTTGTAAATCAGAACAAATCTATCAAGAAGTGAACCCCTTTGATAATCTAACAACTAGTAAACCTGTTCCTTACGATAGAAACCAGAAAAGTAGGGGGGGAAGCAGGTCAGAAAATGAGGGGATGAAGAAGATAGAAGGAAAGGATTGGTGAGAACTTTAGAGAACTGCGTTTTCGATCGCATCTTTCCAACGGCAAATATAAAAGCATCGAATAAATTTTAATTGTATTTCATAAATCTCGAATTACCTCTTTAAAAATATGTCGAGTTGTAAACATCGATCATAATTCTCCCACTATAGCTTTTTCTTTTGTAAATACATACTGGATGATTAAACAAAATATAATTTCTAATTATTTAAAGAATTCTAATTACTTTCAAACAATCTTAATTAGTTATAAGCCACTTTGAAGAATAACATATGTATATTACGCTATAATCTATTATCATTAATTACTTTGTCCAATTTTGTGCACCTTTTTTACAGTTACGATAATATCATATCTCCAACTACCCCTACCTACTCGATTATTATATCCATGGGCCATCGCTTGATACAAGCTGCTTATGCAACTATACGCCGTTTGATGACACAACAGTTATGCATTGCCAATTTAACTTTCACACCGTAAAAAGAATAAAAATACCAAGCGCGTTGAAGCAAATTCAAAAGCTCGGCTTTTCTATTAAATTTCTCTTCGGTTTATTCGCCCGTATAGAGGGAATGAAACGCGCTTGCGAGCTATGGCGATATAAATGGTTGTAATTACGGGATGGCGGCTCCGTTATTCAGAGAGCGTCAATTTCATCCACGAGCACTTTTTTCCCCCCCTCCTTCAATGCCAAGCGTATAAAGGCCAATTGCAAAAACGCAATATCTTTGTGTAATAACCTTTCATCCCGTTTACTTCCGATTAAATCACGATAAAAGAAGAAATTGAAGGTCTGAGATAAAAAACCAGCTTGTAATGTAAACAAATTAGGAAACATGAACGATATATTACACATTTTATATTTTTTTTTAGGAATATAGTAAACTTTCTCTTACTAGAGTTTAATAAGTATTGTAAAAATAAATTGTGATTTCTGTTTATATATAAATATATATATATATATACGTCCACATGTTCGTACGTTTGATAGAGCATTTTTAAAAAGATATGTATTTAAAAATTGCATCTAATTCAAACAATGACTAGTATCTCGCGTTTTCTCGCCGATTAACATACGTGGTATGTAATATTAGGTTTACGCGAGGAGAAAAAGGAGAATGATGGCAAGAGGAAAAGAGTAGGATGACGAAGAGGTGTCTGTGATCACGTAGAACCATAGTTTCGTTGCGTCATTCTCGAATGCATTTGTCGCGGTATTCCTGAATTATGATTCAGCCGAAATCTCATTCGTTACCGGGAAGTTAGCGTCGCGAAATACGTCGATAGCTGTTATCGACGAGATTATTGCGTCAGATAATATTGAATAAAATCTTGGTAATATATAATCTTGGTATATAATTGAATTTTTTTTTTTATTAGCCAATCACAATGTATATTTTCTTCGATTCTACAATGTTCGTTCATCGATAACACTATATATATATATATATATATATATATATATATATTTATATAAACTTTCTATTGTTTGTTGAAGAAAGAAATGTATTTTTTCTTTTTTTTTTTTATTGTATATCGAATGTATCGAATATAAACATATTCGGGGAGGAAAAAAATGAAAGTATGAAACAAAAGCTAAATGTACGCAATGTCGTTGCAGATTTGCAACGATAATTTGGTATCTTTTTTTAGCACACAAACGTGTGCATTGCATCATTGAAATATAAATCTGAATCATATAACACACATTATCTATAAAAATTTAAAAGTCACTCGTTTGAATTGGATCTAATTTCGCAGATGAATTGTTGAAAATATCGATCGACAATTCCTCTCGTTCTTTTCGGAAGTTCCTGCTGTAGAGGTTATCCGATACGATTGAGTAATGGTCATTTAATTCAATTGGTATGTAAATTCCACACCTATTAAGACTATATCATAATCGTTCGAAAATGATATCACTCTTTGCATTATCTATTAACGGACAATGATAAAGAGTGAAAAAAATTAAAAATTTCTGTTGCATGAATCATGCACACAAATGACGAAATTAAATTAAACTAATTAATTCGTTATATCAAGATCCATATATATATATATATATATATATAATATAGAGATCTTCATATATAAGAATCGTTTTCAGAAATTTTATACAAATTTTAACAAAAATCATAATATCCAAACTAATTTTCTCTTATTTAAATAAAAAAGGAAAAAAATTTAAAAAAAATGACGATTAATAATGATTTGGAATGATTTTTAAAATTCCTTCTTTATCTTATTAAAAACTTAATAAATCGATTAAAAAATTTGAAAAAAGAAAAAAATGTAAATTAATTTCCTTTTTTAAAATATTACAAAACTCGATCGAGATAAATTTAACGCGGTCGAAATAAAATGATCGTATCCAGCGTTTAGCTAGCATTCCACGAACCCCAATCGTAGAATGTATTTTTAGTCGGTGAAAACGAAACTCATCCTGCGGGCTGATTTTTGTTGACAGGCACGGTGGGGATCGAAAAGAAAGTACAGCACAGATCGATAAACGTTCTTTATTTCACGGAAGGGAACGCACGTTGCGTCATTTTACGCGTGCGCAACAATCATACCTCGTAGTTTCGAAAATGTATGCCGCGACGTACGTGCTTCGCCGTGCATCGCCACCCAGGTTATGTATTACCGATTATGGATTCGAAATAACGTCCATGCGGCATGTGTACAAGTATTATCGACACGTGATATGGGGTCATGGTGAAAATTTGTCGGAAAACCGAACGCAAATTTTATCGTTCCGGCAATACTTGGCCAAATCCCCGATTTTGCTAGACCCCAATACGTCGACCGAAGTCTATGGGAGGTATAAAAAGCGGGGACAAGGTCACCTTAGCAAACAGAAGTCTGGGAGCAGTCGTACGGATCGGAAGAAAGAACGGCTGGTAAACCGTCCAAATAAATTTGGTGTTTGCTTCATTCTTTTTCTTTGCTTTGTATCTTTCTTAAAAGTAATCATGAGGTTAGTGTACATACGTTTATTTTTCTTTTTTCTTTTTTTTTTTTTTTTTTTTTTTTTTTTTTTTTTTCATTACAATCGCGTCACGAAACCATAAGTGTGTATAAACGCGACGTATAAGGATGAACCGTGTTAAGCTATGTGGAATACCCATAGAAGAAACTAGGTCAAGATGCAATTACGAGAATTATTCGATTCGATGGTGTTCATTTAAGAAATTTAAACCTCATCCTGCTAATGCTTTCTTTCGGTGATGGCTATTCAAATCTTTTCTCTGTGTTCTTTCTTTTGCAGTTTGAATTTGAATTTGATTTATTTGAATAGTTGCTTTGTACGTAATCCGCACTCTTGCAGCGTATCTATCGAACACCGGTTAACGTACTGCTAGTGGCATCTTACGAGCTTGCGTATTACTCATACTATATTATTAACGTTTTATTCGTATATACGAGTGTAGTAGTACAATCAAGTAATATAATTTTACAAACTAGCGAAATGCTTTTTAATTTTTCGTTGAAGTGAAAAAAAATTTCATTTCTGCTTTATTTAATATAGCAGTAGATAGTAACGATGTTTTTTTTTTTCTTTCTATCTTTTCACTTTATGATCGATCTATGTATATATTGTCGTTATTCTTTTATTCTCTTTCATTCTCTTATTTTCTTTCTGTCGAATAACTAAACTTACATAAATTCTGAGAACAAAAAGTACGCGGAAAAAACTTATCTAGATCTTCGTGGAATATTCGTGTTCGAAAAATTCGTAAGTAAAAGAACAAATATGAAAAATTATCGCGATATATAAAAAATATGTTTTAAAGAACTGTGTTAAAATATATTTGTATAAAAAAAATTGAATTTTTTACGCAATAACGTAAACGTTTTCCGTGACCTTTTTGACCTTTCTCGACGAAAATACGTAAAACAGTTAAATATATTTAGAGACGAATGAAACAAAATGCTTAAACTAAACGATCCTATTCAACTGTTTATAGAATAATGGCAACGTTGAGAAGTAAACTGTTAAATACAGTGATGGATCCGGTTCCTTCGAGTTCGCACAAAGTGACCGTGGTCGGTGTAGGTAACGTCGGTATGGCTTGTACCATCAGTCTTTTAGCAAAAGTAAGTTTTTTATTTTCCTCCTTACATATATATATATAATATATATAAAATTGAAAAATTGAAAAATCTTATTCCTCGTAATCTTTTCCGCATATTATCGCAGAATATTTCGAGCGACTTGGCGCTGGTCGATATGGTGGAAGACAAACTGAAGGGAGAGATGTTGGATCTGCAACACGGTAGTTCATTCTTGAGGAACGCGAAAATCAACGCGAGCACGGATTATTCCGTAACGGCGAATTCGAGCGTGTGCATAGTGACCGCTGGTGCTCGTCAAAAGGAAGGCGAGACGAGGCTCGATCTCGTTCAAAGAAATACGGATATTTTCAAAAGCATTATTCCCGAATTAGTGAAATATAGTCCGAACACGATCCTTCTTATCGTCTCGAATCCGGTCGACATTCTTACCTACGTTGCGTGGAAACTTTCTGGTCTTCCAAAGAATCAAGTGATCGGGAGTGGCACCAATTTGGACTCGGCTCGATTCCGCTTCCTCTTGTCCGAGAAATTGAAAGTCGCCCCTACATCGTGCCACGGTTGGATGATCGGGGAGCACGGAGACACGTGTGGTACGCATTTTCTTTCAAAATTGATTTTCCTTTGATACGATTGATCGATAAGGGAACTCGCGAAACCGTGTTATAACGGGAGATTCACCATGATTCTTGAAATTTGTTTAAATGCACGCGAGCCACGAGTGAAACGCGCGTGTTTCTTATCTATGATATTTATACGTTCTCTTCAGTGCCGGTATGGTCGGGAGTGAACATCGCTGGAGTGAGATTGCGCGATCTGGACGAAACTGTTGGCACGGATGATGACAAGGAAAATTGGAATGAGATATATAAAAAGGTCGTTGGATCCGCTTACGAAGTTATCAAGCTGAAGGGTTACACATCGTGGGCCATTGGCCTGAGCGCTGCCCAAATCGTCTCCTCCATATTGCGAAACTCGCAACAAGTTCATGCCGTAGCTACCCTGGTTACCGTAAGTCGATAACTCTTGCGGTTCTTGCACAAACTTATCGCGTGTAGCGGATTACAAAATAACTGTAACGTTTAGACGTTTGAAAAAAAAAAAAAAAAAAAATT